TGCTCCACGCCAGTCCTGGATGCCCTGGTTGGACAGCTGATGGAGGAAAAGGAGTCAGGGCCTCAAAGAGCGGGGAGTTGGGACAGAAAGGAACCCAACTCTCCCACCCACCCAAGCTCCACTAAGAGGAAGGCAGAGAAAACGGCAATGGGGGAAGAGGCACCTCCCGGTTGTGGCAGACCTCTCCCGGGTGTTCTAGGTAGGACCATTCATCTACTTCTAGGATACCCAGGAATAACTCAACTCTCCGGCCCTGTGGAGACTAAGTCAGTACAGGTCAGAGTCTATACAGCCCTTCGGGACTGTTTTACCTTTGGTCCACCTCAACTTCAGAAACCAGATATGCTTTTCAGAGTCCAGAAAACCCCAGTGAGAGTCTTCTCTTAAGATTTTTCTGGTTCCCTAGCATCAGAGACCCTTCTGCTTCCCTAGCATCAGAGACCTAGGCAGGCATGGCTCCTGGATGGGAAATTTCCAGTCTATGTAGACTCCAGATCCCAGCTGAATAAGTGGGTTCTCTAGGTGCCTAGAGCCAGGTGGGGTCAAGGGTATGGTATACTCCCAGTTAGTGAACACTCTGGGGACAGTGGATCTTGGTCCGCCCTGGTCCCAGAGGGAATCCCTCGGTTAGTGAAAGCGCCCTGTGCCTCAGGAAACACACTCACCTGGTCAGTGTAGACCCAGCCCCCATGGATCTCCCCAGGAAGGGCCTGTGCTCAGGGGTGTTTGCGGATGGTGAAAGGGTCGAGCCAGACCTACAGCTGGTATCCCTGATGGGCTGGGATGCCTCCCCCAACCCAGCCACCTAGACCTGAGCACAGCGCGCCCCAGGGTCGCCCGGCCCCAGGCCGGGGGCTAGGCTCCCAACAGCGGACAGCCCGGCGCGCGGCCCCGGCGCACGCGCGCTCCCCTGGCCGCGCGCGCCCTCTATCAAAACATTCTGGCTGCGCGCCCCCGGCCCGCCCGCGGCTCCCCTTCCCCCGTTACGCATCGCGAACTCACTTGGGGCTCTGTGGGCACCCCTGGGCAGCTTGGGCCTGGGTCTGAGGATTCCAGTTACCAGCCTCGCGTGTCACCGCAGGAACCGCGACCCGGGCGATTCCAGAAGCCCGGTCTGTTCTGCTGGGCTCGGCCAGACCCGGAGCGCTAGGCCCTCCGTCTGTCATTCACTGTCACCCGCAGCCGGTCTGGCCAATGAACAAAGTGGGTGGAGACATGGTGGCCAATTCTTGGCCCAGGGGGCAGGGCGAAAGGTTGGAGGCGGGTCTTGTAGAGCAGAGGACCAATAGTGAGCTCTACGTGGTGCAGGGCTGGGCTACCGGCGCCGCGGTGTGTCCCTCTCGCCGCTCCGTAGCCTCCAGATCGTGGTGTTGCAGAAATCCAGCTTTCGAACGGTAGACGTGCGTGCGGCTGGCCTCTCGGGTTATTAGTGGCGGCTTCTAAGGACGGGGACGAGGGACGAGGTTCAGTCGGTGTCGGTGCCAGTCGATCAGGTTACTAGCCTCCGACTGGTAACTGCTGGACACCATTTGGGTCTGGGTGCTCTTGACTGTAAGGTCCTCACGTATTTACCGAAGAACTGATTCGTGGGGGCAGGTGAGGGCCGAGGGGCCTTTCTGCGTGGGGATGGCCAGGCCGGGCCGCCTGGAGACTCGGCAGTAGAATCTCGTCCTGGAGAGCTGTGTCTCCCCTCCGTTTCTGCTCCAGGAGCTGCTTCGGAGTTACTCTGCTTCAGCCATGTCGCCGGCTCCAGGTGCAGGCCTGGCTCCTGCCTCGGTCTCCCTGTTGGACCTCAGCGCGGAAGCCCCACTCGTTCGGGGCCTGAGCCTGGTGAGCCAAGCACCCGCGGAGGCTCTGGCCGGGGCGTCGCATACTCCCTGTCCAGGTATCCGGGATGCTTTGGGGGTGGACCTATGAGGAACGTCACAGGGTTCCGTGGACTCTGTTAACACGGAAGACTTTCACACTGTCATTTCCCAGCTTAGGGGTCCACACTGATTCTTTCTGTTGGACTATGTAGAACAGGCTGACCCCTAACTCATTGAGCTCTGCCTCTGCCTCCTGAGTGCACTGCCATGTCCGGCTTCAGTGAAGTTTGAGGTAGAGAGACGGGTGTTCTTCCAGAGTTAACTTTTACTGTGTATCTAAGGATGTGGAAAACATTGATTCAGGAGGCGTTTTCCTGATTGATGAAAAATGACTGAGTTTTGATAATTTACCCTTGCTCTAGGGTTCTTCAGATGTGTTAGGTAGCACTTAATAGACTGGGGGGGCAGAGTGGGATGCAACTCAGTGGAACAGAATATGCTTAGGATGTGTGAGGCCTTAAAGCCCCAACACCAAAAATAAAAGGATTTTTGTTTGTTTGGTTTTTTGTTTTGTTTTTTGAGAAAGGGTTTCTCTGTAGTTTTGGAGCCTGTCCTGGAACTCACTTTGTAGACCAGGCTGGCCTCAAACTCGAAGACAATCCATTTGGATAATTGGATTGTAATATTTGTTAATTTTACATGTATCTTTTTAAAAGTATATTTATTGTACGGAACAGTTACTGTATCATTTATTTCATGATTGCCAGATTGTAAATTCTTGGAAGGCAAGGTCATGCCATCTTTTCCTTCTATATTATCCTTTTAATGGGTATTTGATATAGTTCTAGGTACTGTAAGTTCTCTGTAGACTTTCTACTTTCAACTACCCTTTTCTTCTGTTCAGGAGAGAGCACACTGTCAGGAAGAAAAGTATCCCCATGTTCTCTGGATATTTCAGAGAAATTATTTTGTTCAGCCTGTGACCAGATCTTCCAGAACCACCAGGAACAGGTAAAAGGCCAGGGTGTAGGGCTAGCTATTAGGAACAGAAGTGTCACGGTGGGTGGGACAAGGTACTTAAGTTAATAAAAGATCCATACTTTGTCTAATGCACTTGGCGCTGCCTGATTCCTAGACTTCTGTGACTACTTTGCTTCCTGGATGAGGCCAAGGTAGAATGTATCCCCACTCTGCCTCCCTTTCCCTTCACACCAGAGAGAGCATTATAAACTTGATTGGCATCGCTTTAACCTAAAACAACGTCTCAAGAACAAGCCTCCCTTGTCTGCTTCGGACTTTGAAAAGCAGAGCTCCACAGGTTAATGCTGGGTATGGGGAAGTCTGTATGGGAGCGGGGGTAGGGTGGAAAAGACACAGTGGGGTTTGAAGAAAGGTCAGAGGTGGTGTGTCAAACTTGCATGTCCCATATTTGTCACAGGAGATCTTTCCAGCATCTCGGGATCCGAAGACTCAGACTCCTCTAGCGAGGAGGACTTGCTGACGCAGGATGAGGGGAGGGCGGAGTTTGAAAAACCTAACCGACCCCGAGGATTCTACCCACATCGGGTCCTTTTCAAAAACGCCCAAGGCCAGTTTCTGTATGCCTATCGCTGTGTCCTAGGCCCTCACCAGGCAAGTAACAGTACAGGTTGTGTGATCAATCCCAGCTCTTATATATACACTCAGCCTGGATTTTCTTTAGCCCATGCATGTCTCATTTCCTCCCTTCCTTTTGGGTTCGGCTATCATACCTCACAGCACAATCTTGAATTGAAACTGGCCAGAATCTTGAAAGGGTCGACTGTAAAGGGATAAGTCTAAATTTTGACTCTACCACTTCCATCTTCTATCTCTGCCTCTCCGCGCCTCGAATATCCTTCTTTGTGGAATGGAAATGAGGCGAGGGTGGTTGTAATTAATGAGATAATGCAAGTGTAACACATGGTGTCTTGTTCTCAATGCATGCATCACGTGGAATGTGTCTGTTGCATCCGTCCTATAGATTCCCCCAGAAAAAGCGGAGTTGCTGCTACAGAGCCTGCAAAGTGGAGGTCCCAGGTACTACGTGGTGCTCATGGCTGCGGCTGGGCATTTTGCTGGTGCCATTTTTCAAGGGTGAGAGGGTGCTGCATGGGGCTGAAGGATGGACCCCGTTAACCTGGGAGCACCGGCTGGTCTCGGGTACTGAGTGTGTGCCATCTACAGAAGAGAAGTGGTGACACACAAAACCTTTCACCGTTACACCGTGCGGGCCAAGAGGGGCACAGCCCAGGGGCTTCGGGATGCCCAGGGGAGGCCGTCACGGTCTGCTGGAGCCAACTTGAGGCGTTACAATGAAGCCATGCTGTATAAGGTGAGTTAGGCCTCACAGATCCCTGTGATAGTCCTGTGATCTCTCAGTCTTTGTAGTTTTCTGGGTAGACAATAGAAGAGGGATCTCCAGGAATATTCTCTCGTTCTTTCTCCCTCTCTAGCTGCCACTCCCTGCATATGATCAGAGGGCCATTGTTTTGTTTGGAGATTTTTTTAAAAAGTAAGTGAAACATGCTAAGTGGAGTTACTCTCTTTAGGATGTTCGTGACCTGCTAGCAGGGCCAGCCTGGGCTAAAGCACTGGGGGAGGCAGACATAATACTGCTACGTGCCCCACGCTCTGGCCGGTCCTTGTTCTTTGGAGGCCAGGGGGCACCCTTGCAAAAGGATGATTCCAGACTTTGGGATATCCCCCTCACCACCCGAAGACCCACTTTTGGAGAGCTTCAGCGTGTGCTTCATAAGCTGACAACCTTGCAGGTGTATGGTGAGCTATTCTAGGCCTTGGGACCTCATACACAGACCTATATATACCATGGGGTTTCCTAGCCTGTGGACTGCAGCCCAATTGACCTGGGCTGGCTTCTCCACACTTAAGTTTGAGAAAGAACTTTTTGTTTTGTGGCAGATGAAGACCCTCGAGAAATGGTCAGATTTCATTCACCTGAGAAACACTGGAAGCCAGTGAGAGAGGAGAGGAAAAAGGCTGCTGATAAAGAAAAAACAAAGGTCCCCAGTGATGAAAATAAGGCACTTGGGCAGGATGAAGAATCACTCAAACAAGGTTTGAGCACCATCTGGCAATTTTCAAATATATCTACATGTCTGCTTTGGAAATGCAGTGACCAGTTCTCATAACTGACCCATCTACTAGTTGATAGGTGAGCCCATCAAAATAACCCACACCCATCCACTCATGCCTACCAGCATCTGTTTATAAAATAAGGTATGTTTTGGGACAGTCTCACTTTAGCCCAGACTGGTCTAGAACCCATGTGAACTAGTGCACACTGGCCTTGAAATCATGGCGATCTTTCTGCCTCAGCCTCCCAGATGCTAGATTCCACTCCTGAGCCACCACACCAAGCTGCTTCCTTATTGAGGCGGGGTCTTTGTCATCTAGCCCAGGCTGGCCTGGAGCTCTCTATGTAGCCCAGGCTGATCTTGAACTCACTGTCCTTCTGCCTCCAGTTTCCAAATGCTGGGATTACAGGCATGCACTAAGACATGTTTAGTGACCTTGCCAAATCTTATTACTGCTCATAGATTGATTCCTGGTACTTAGCATGGAGGGTACTTAGCATGTGTTGTTTGAGTGATTAGATGCTGTGCGTTGAGCTAAGGGTTGCTTTCCTCTATTTTTTTTTTTTTTTTTGGTTTTTCGAGACGGGGTTTCTCTGTGTAGTTTTGGTGCCTGTCCTGGATCTCGCTCTGTAGACCAGGCTGGCCTTGAACTCACAGAGATCCACCTGGCTCTGCCTCCCAAGTGCTAGGACTAAGTCGTGCCCCACCACGATGGTGCTTTCTTCTACTTTGTACTGTCCTAATGCTGTTCACTGGGAGAGTCCAGGGACAGAACAGAAACACTTCATTTCAGAATGATCTGAGTATCTTTTTATAAATGTAAACCCATCTGAGGACGCCCACAGCCTTCCACCCTCTCCCTATTCTTTAGATAGATCTAACATCATATTTTTCCCTAGGTTCAGAGTCTCAGGAAGAAGATGGCTCCCAAGTAGAGTTGGAGCTAGTAGAATTGACACTGGGGACCCTGGATCTTCGTGAATTTGAGGTGTTGCCCAAGCGGAGGAGGAGGAAAAAGAAGAAGGAGAGAAGTCAAGGCCAGCAGTGTGAGACACACGTGACTCTTCTTCAGCAATCTCGAGACGGGCCCCTCTCACAGGCAGACCAAGTGGTTACAGCCAAAGCCCCTGACCAGCCAGAGCTCTGGGACATGCTTCTGTCGGCTTGCCGAGCTGGGGAAGTTGAGGTGCTAAAGCTCCAGCTCGCTACTGGGCCTGTCGACCCTGGAGTTAGGTCCCTACTCAATGCCCCTTTGGGCTCTGGTGGCTTTACTCTCCTGCATGCAGCGGCTGCAGCCGGAAGAGGCTTAGTAGTCCGTCTTCTGTTGGAGGCAGGTGCTGACCCTACTATACAGTAAGTATATCTCCATCCTGAGCCCGTTTAGGATTACGAGCAGAATGTGGTGGGGGCTCCTGTTGGCACCTGATACTATTTCCTTGGGTGATGTCAGAAAAAGCAGAAGGCAAGTTGAACTCGGTTTTGGGTTTTTGTCCTTAGGGACTCTAGGGCTCGGCCACCTTATACTGTGGCAGCTGACAAATCCACACGGAATGAATTCCGAAGGTTCATGGAGAAGAATCTTGATGCCTATGATTACAACAAGGCTCGGGTGAGCTGGAAAAGGAGCGGCAGAGTGGGAGGGCATCAGATCCTCACCGGGTCCTTACAGTTTTACAGTACCTTTGGGAAACCCTCCAGGTGCCAGGGCCACTGACTCAAGAAATGGAGGCCCGCCAGGCCGCAAAGAAGAAGGAGCAGAAGGCAGCCCGCCGGCAGCGGGAGCAGCAGCAGCAGCAGCAGAGGGAGCAGGAAGAGCAGGAGCAGGAAGAGCGGCGGCGATTTGCTGCCCTCAGTGACCGAGAGAAGGTGAGGCCATACCTCCCCTCCCCGGAGTGAGCTGTCACCTCCTGCGTGTGCGCTTCACCCCTGCGGACTCTTCTTTAACATCGCTTCTGGTTTCCAGAGAGCCCTGGCTGCAGAACGCCGACTCGCTGCCCAGTTGGGAGCCCCTAGCCCTCCAGTTCCTGACTCTGCGGCTGTCAATGCTGGGTACGGGGGCCAGGGAATGAAAGGGTGGGCTCCTGGGTCCTAGGGGTCACTCGGGGGACGAGGAATGAGGGCCTTCGTGGTGTTGAGAAGGATCACGGAGGGGATTTGAGGTTCTCGGGGATCTTTAAGGGCTGGGCAAAGCTGAGACGGGACAGTTTGTGGGGTGTCTGTGCAGTCATTTGTCTTCCTTTTCTTTAGACGCTGTTGGGGTTGTGGCGTGTCCCTCCAAGGCCTCGTTCCCTTTCACTACCTCGACTTCTCTTTCTGCTCCACACGTTGCCTCCGAGACCATCGAAGTCAGGCAGGGAGGCCTTCTTCCTGATTTCTTATACCATCTGGGGCCAACTCGAGGCCCTGAGAGGACACATTCAGACCTAGAGTTTCTCTTCCTCCTCATGAAGCTCGAGATTATGTGGAAGATGGGGGTGAAGGACTCAGGAACAAGGGCAGGGCAGGGCCACAGAGGTGCGTGGAGCAGCACTGTCTTTGGAATTTTAATCACAATAAAGTTTGGCAAGAAAACTGTATCTGTACTTACATTCAGAGGGATTGTAGCCTTTGATTCTTTATGGTCACTGTGGCCAGCACCAAAAGCTCCTGCCCTGTGCCCAGATTCAAGGGTCATCTTTCTTTCAGTGCCCACTTAACTCCATTGGTTCATATGAACCTTGTGTTTCTGGGAGAAAATAGGCATATCCCCAATGCAAAGTGCTATTGAGGATATGTGTATCCAAAAATTGGATTTGGGGCTCCTGAGGCACGTTTTCTAGCTCCAGCAATGTGATTTTGTTGACAGATCTACCAAACAGCAGAAGTCTTGGTACATATAGGGTCTGTTGTGGACCCCGATTTGTCCAGTACCGGCCCAAGTTAAACCCATTGATCCATACTTGGCCCTGGGAGAGGGGATGGAGTGGAAAAACAAAGGGTCAGCTCTCCACAGGGTAGAACTGCCCCCTTTCAAGTTCTAACCCAATGAGTAATTTCTAGTCCCAGTTTGTTTTTCTGGTCATGTGCCCCCCCACACTTCAACTACCACCATTAGCAATACCTTCGTCCATCCGGGTAGATACAGAAATGTGTCCCCAAGTTTGCCTAGCACTGTAAATGTGGTGGAGTAGAAGGCAGGGCCAGAGGCAGGCGGAGGCTGGGCTCTCTTCATCAGCTGCAGGGGGAACCACCACCTGACAAGCTTATCAACTTTGAGAGGGAACATCATCCACTCGGTGAGGATCGTCTGCCCCAGAAGCGGTGGCTCTAACAGGCCCTGTGGGGAAGCAAATGAGAAGCCATTCACTGCATCCACACAAGGACCCATGCTATCCCTAACCAAGCTCTGGAATGTAACTGGCCATGTCCATGTATTCAAGCACCATTCCTCTACCTAAGCCTAGGGACGGAGGTCTTCCATTAGGCCCTGTTCTCCAAGAGAGGTGGTCAGTCCTGGGGAAGAATAGGCAAAACCAGCTTACCTTGAAGTCGCTGTGGTTAGACCCAAAACTGAGCCGCCCCATGTTCTCTAGCAAGATATCCAGCTTGGCCCCTGCTTTCCCAGTCAAATATAGTTCATTTTTCAAATTCCGCTCCAGGACACCCATCAGTTCCTATGGATAGGGACAGGTTCCAGTAAAAAACACCCAGTCCTCAGTTCTTGGCCCCTACACAGTGAATCACATTAGAAGACTTTATTTGGAGAGAATGGGATCGTCTTGTTGGTTATCTACCGTTCTGGTACTCTGCTTTCTTGAGACAGGGTCTCTGTGTAGTCCAGACTGCCAAAACGCACTGGGCAGCCCATGCTGTGACTTCCCTGCTGCAGCCTACTGAGGGCTGGGAATGCAGGTGTGCCCACCACATCCCTGGTTAAAAAACTATCCTTAATCACATTCTCCCTCATCCCAGCTTATAACCTGAACCTCTATCCATGTGGGCAAACAGGTGGGGAAGGGTTAGTTAGAGATGGGGGCTTGGGGGTAGGGAAAGAAATTGAGATTATAAATTGGTTGGGAATTAGGTTCTTACCCCATCCACCATCACATAGGCACGGTCATGAATTCCATTATTTGGCACCCAGAATAGTGTTGGTTTAAAAATAGTGTGAGTCAGATAGGTCCGGTACAGCATAAAGCCGTGATCCTAGATACAGAAGAATGGGTTACTTAAGATGAGCTGGTGATAAGGACGGGCACCGTGGGAACATTAGTGGCTAGAGAACTTTGGGCTGCGGCTGCTGAAGGAGTCTGCCACTCCCATCCGATGGGAGTTTATACCTTACCTGCTTGACAGCCTCAAAGGTCAACGGCAAAACTGAACGGATGGGGCCGTGGGGGCAGAGAAAGTCTAGGAAAGACAGCAAATTCCCATCCTGTGAGGACAAAGAGCAACCAAACTGCTAAGTGTCTGACTTGAGGGCTGCTCAGGGTGAATGATTCAGAAAACATTGGTATAAGATCAGGAAAGAGGAGGAGAAACTTACCAGGCTCAAAGTCAGAGGTCCAAGCTTCATCTTGGGGCTGGGGGGAGGTAAAGGTCCCAAGGGAATTTCCTGGAACTGAGCCCAAATTCTCTCAGTAGTCATAGGAAAAGCAAAATAATCCAAGGCCCTAAAAGAAGGTTCTTGACCTGGAACCCAGGGATGGACTGCAGGAAGCCATGAAGACCCTATAATTTTCCACATGTGTATAGCTCCCCAGATGTCCCATGTGAGTGGTAAATACTTCATGAAATGCTAAGAGGGCTCTGTTACCCAGACGAGCACCACCCGTTTGTAGGGCTCTTGAACAATATGGAAACTCTCCCTTTCCCCAGTGAATAAAAGGGCACCTTGCTGATGACATTTCGAAGTGCAAAAAGCTTAGGTGTGGGATCCCCTGCTTCAGATATGGGCGCATCATAGTCGTAGCTGGTAGTAATTGGAAGAAAGTGTCCCTTCTCGTCAGCACCTGGGTTAAAGTAATTTAGTTAATTCAACATCATCTTCAGTGATAAGCACTAAGCAAAGAGCTTTGTGCAGAAAATCTTGCGATTGGGGGGACAGTGGTAGCCATACACAGCTTCTAGACCTCCTAATCTGTGCAGTCTAAGATTTTAATTCCTTATTACCTCCCTGCTTCCACCACAGGGACGGCACTCACCATTCCAGTATCCAAAGTTAGTCCCTCCATGGAACATGTACCTACAGTGGGGGTGGGTGGGAGAAAGGGTAAAATCTGACCTATGGAATCTTAACTTTAAACTCCAACCCCCAGGAACATAAGTGTGTCCTCAGTTACATGTTCACACTGGCTCCCAACTCGAGCATTTTTTCTAGTCCCTGGGCGATAGATGTACTGGATCGGGTGGAGTGATTCTGGCCCCAGTAATCCAGCCAGCCTGTATAGTACTCAGAGTTCACCTAGAGAGAGATGTGAAAGAGTCATGGTGAGGTGGGAATAAAGCTGGTCCCATTCCAGCCAGAGTATGATTTTTTTTTATTCCCCTTCCTGATAGCCCCTCACCAGTGGCCCATGGGGTTCATAACTCCGAAGCAGGGCAAAGAGTTTGGTCATGTTGTCAGCTGCCAAAAGAAAACACGGGTAAAGAACACAGATCACAGAGGAGGTGCCCAGACTCCACTCCCAACCCTTGTTTAGGAGACCTGGGCCAAAATCTATAGTGGTATAGAGTCCTGGGAGGGAACCACATCTGAGTCCTTGAGGCCCATCTGTGGTGAAGAGCAAGATCTCGTCTCCTAGCAATGACCGGAAGAGGCCAGCCAAGTGTCTCATGTACTTGAAGTCACAGGCCTTGTAGCTACCATACTCATTCTCCACCTACCAGGGAAAAGAGGGTCCTGCCGTGAGGCAAGGGAGGTCGAGGACACCTGGACCTTCTTCTCTTGCCCAGCCCACTCCCCATCCATACCTGAATGCTAATGATGTTGCCCCCATTGTGGTAGAGAAATGGATATATCTTGGGCAGCAAGACCTGGAACCAGGAGTCCACAGCAGCAAGGAAGTCTAAAGGAAGGAGCAGTGTGCTCTGCTCATTAGGGGTCACTGCCTTCACAGCCCGCCTCCCCAGCATTCTTGATAGTCTCCTCAGTGCCACACTCTAGGCTGTAGCCTCCCTTTTCCTTGTCTCCCAACTAAATCTAGAGAGCAGTGACTCTTTCTGAATTTTATTATTTTTATTTCTTTTTTTATATGTATGAATGTGTTGCCTGCATGTTGTCTTTGTACCATGTGCCTCGGTAGCTGCAGAGGAGGCCAGAAGAGGGCATCAGATCCTCTGGAGCTGGAGTTACAGATGGTGATGAGCCACCACGTGGGTGCTGGAAGTCAAACCTGGCTTCTCTAGAAGTCAGTGTTCTGATGTGCCGAGCCACCCCCCCCCCCCCCAGCCTCAGCAGCAGTGACTCTCAGAGGAAACTCTAGGAGTGCAGGAAACTAAACTGTTTCCTAAGACTCCGTGTAAGACAAGAGGCTAACCACCTAACATGGAGTTATTATGCAGTCAACTTACACTTAAGAGTGCTGTGAAATTTCACAGAAAGCAGTGTTTGACTTGGATGGACTCTCATTTAATGAACAGTCATGTGATTTCATGCCTTAAATTCTCAACTCTTATTTATTACTTTTATGATTCCCCCTCAGTGCCTTCATGCATGTTACTTTTTCTTCCTGACACTTTTTCTCCCATCCCCCTCTCTCTAGTTGATGTTAATTTATGTCTCCATTCTTTATGCTCGTATTTTAAAATTGCATTTATTTATTTATTTGTGTGTGTGTGTGTGTGTGTGTGTGTGTGTGTGTGTGTGTGTGTATATGCTATTATGAAGGCTGAGGGGTGGTTTGGACCAGCAGGTTTGGACCAGCAGATAGCGGTAGGAGTAACCAGAAGTATTAAACTCAATGTTGTTGAGAGTAACACTGACATGAGTGTGTGTGTGTGTGTGTGTGTGTGTGTGTGTGTGTGTGTGTGAGAATAAATGGATGTGGTGTGGTGACATATGAATGAAAGTCAACCTTCAGGAGTCAGTTTTCTCCTTCCACCACTTGGGTCCCAAGTATCAAACTCTGGTCATCAGGCTTGGTGACAGGCATCTTTACTTATGCCTTCCTTATTTTTTTTTTTTTAAACAGGGTCTTCCTATGTAGCATGGACTGTCTTGAAATTCACTATATAAATCAGAATGGCCTCGAACTCACAGAGATCTGCCTGCTTCTGCCTCCTGATCACTGGCACCACCACCCCCTGGCTTAAAAGAAGTTTTTATTAACGTTCATTTTGTGTGTGTGTGTGTGTGTGTGTGTGTGTGTGTGAAGCCACAGCATGCTTGCTGAGGTCAAAGGACAACTTGCAGGAGTTGGTTCTCTCCCTTCACCACACAAGTCCAAGGGACTCAAACTCAGGCTGGCAGGGTTGGAAGTGACAGGAGACTGGTTCATATTCTGAATGAGAGGAGCGCGTGTTAGGGAGGCTTAAGTAGCACTATGATATGACTTGAGATGTATGTTTCCACCATTTCCACAGAAGTTCACTAGCT